CACCACCCATTCACACCCTACCCCCAACACACACACGCTCACACATATACTATTCTCAATACTTTGAGCAAGAATAAATTGGATCACTTCCTCTTTAAACAAACATGCAAAAATTGTCTATTTGATTAAAATGAAAGACAAAATATTTACCTTGTTCTACGAGCCCAGTATTATATGTCCTCCCATTATCCTTCTGATCATCTCTACTCTCTCCATTACTACAGTGCAGCTACATGGGATTCTTCGTTCCTCCTCCAAAGCAAGTGGCTTCCACTCAGGACCTTGGCTCTAATTATGCAGAGTGCCAGGAACATTCTTCTACTCTTGAGTAAGTCCATAACTGCTTTCAAGAATTTGCTCAAGTTTCACATTCCCAAATATTCCTACACTGGCCCTTTGATTACCGTAATCCACACCTTTTACTCAAAATGAAGATTATTGATCTCTCCTGCTATGTTTTACTTCTTTGTTTTCCCTAGCACATTCTATCCTGTAATGCATTAGGCACCTTACTGACTAGGTGTATTGCCATCTCCTTGTAAACTAGAAGCTCCATGAAAATTGGGATCTTTGTTTTCTTCGTTGATGCATTCTGTACATCTGAAAGCAACATTTAGACTGCATTTGGTATTGTCTTTATGGAAAAAAAAATACTTAGTCCTGGGAATTTAATGCAAAACTCAAGTATAGTAGAAAAATATTTCTTATTGTTCTTGATTTACTGAAAACATAACAAAGATGTTGACCTTGTGCTATGACATAGATGTTGATGAATTATTTCTAGCCATTGTAATAATATTTTAAAAAAATATTCTACATATATCCTGGCATTCATCTGGATTGCTCCATTTGTTTTTCCATAGAGCTGCAAAAGATCTTCACCTCACATATCACCTCAGCGATTACCTTTGAAAGACAGAAAACTGAGCTACGTCATCAAGCTTACAATTCTTGGAGTTGCTAAGGAACCTCCCAACTTTTTATGAGTCTTCAGTTAAAATCCTGATTTCTCTTCAGTGTGTGTACTGGCTTCCTAGGACTGTTATGACAAGTTACCACAAATGTGCTGGCTTTAAATGACAGAAATATGTTCTCTCACTGTTCACCAGAAGTCCTAAATCAAGGTGCTGCGAGAACCACATGCCACCAAAGTGGCAAGGCAGGTCAATTTCTAAGGAGGAACCTTTCTTTGCTTCTTCCAGCGTCTGATGGCACTTGGAGCTTCTTGGTTTGTCGCAGCAAAACTTCAATCTCTGCTCCTTCTTCACACTGCCTTGCTCTCTGAATGTCTCTGGGACCAAATCTGTTGTGTTCTCTATAAGGACAACAGTCATTGGATTTAGGGCCCACCCTAAATCCAGAATAATTTCATTTTGAGAGCCTCAACTACTTATATTGACAAAGACTCTAGTTTTGAATAAAGTCACATTCAGTTTTTGAGTGGACATGAATTTTGAAGAACACTTTTATCCCACTGAAGTGTCTAAAAACTACATGGAAACATATTTTAAATTTTTTATATTTTTCTTCATGATTTATGCCTCATATATTCAGTTTTGAAATTTTGCTATCTTTGAGTTGTTTGCTTGTTTGTTTTGCTTTCTTTAGGTAAGATGCACTGAGCACATAAGTTATAACCATCTTATAGAATAGTCTCCAATGGTATGAAAATAATGGAAAACTCATATTTTTGTTCTAAGTAACTGCAAGGCAGGTAAATTTCTCATAAATGATCTTTTGCACAAAAAGATAAGAGATCAGAGTTGAGAAAACAGACACGATCATACAATTGCAAGTGGAATGTTTGGACAATTTGACCTGCCCAGGTAACCTTGACTTGTGATGTCATGTACTATATGGGCACATAATTTTGCAACCTCCTGGGCCTACAAGTTAAGCATTAGTGGAGCCCTTCCCCCTACCTTTACCAGTGTCAGGAACAATCTAAGTACTGTGTTTTGCTGATGATGTGATTCAAGCTAAGTGACAAACAGAAAACTCCCACAGACTCAGCCAGTCACAGATCATGGCAGAGAATTGGAGTAAAAAACTCATTAGCAGAGTCTCCACAGCACACCAGTCAGAGTTGGGTCTTAAATGACCTTCCTCCCCTCTGAAGTCCCAATGCACCTTACCTCATTCGTAGCTCAGACTGTCATCAATACTTCATTGTCCTTTTCTGTCTTGGAACCTCTATGTATGTGGGGACTTTGACTATCACACGTATATGGGGTTCCCGTACATACCCATGTAATTAAATTTGATCATTTTCACATGTTAATTTGTTTCATGTTTATTTAACTGTTAAACCAGCTGAAAGAACCTTGAGGGTAGAGGAATATTTCTTCCTCTCCTGCAGTGGCGGTGTGAGCAGGCCATCTTGCTCACTTCAAAGTTGCAACAATAGAAAGACCCTGAGGCCACTAGCATGAGCCGGCAAAAGCAGGAATCCTTCTTGCCAAGTCATAGACTCCTGGATCTCCACCTGCAGAATTTGGTGGAAGCAGAGTGGTGAGAGTCTTCCCTCCCATCATTCCTTAATTTAGATTAGATGGAGGAGGTATTTATGAAATGAATTTCTTAGGCTTAGCAACTTTTGGTTATTTGCTATGAGAACTCACAGGTTTTGCTAATTCTGTTTTTCCCTTTCTGTCTGGTGGCTCTCCTTTTATCTTGTTATATGTCCTGAGAGTTTGACCTTATGACCAGTGAGAACATTTTCTCTCTGGCCTTCACAGGGTGCATGTACCAGGATGTACCTTGGTCTCTGTCTGCCTGTGCCAAGTTCTCCATGGAGTTTTTGGTGTCTACCCATTTCCTCCCAGAGATGGTGAACACAGGGCCCTGCATTCTTGTTTTCCACCCATCAGATAATGCATGTTCTTCTTGCAGGCATCCAAGTAGGCTTCCAAAGGTAAGTAATAAAAAGGCTTATTGGTTTGAGTCACTATTAACATCCTACTCCTTAAGACCAGTCAACACATCCTTTGAACTGGAAAAACTTCTAAATGACCCCCTGGTGGTCCCTCAACATTAAAAGGCCCCAAACAAGTCTGTTCTACCCATGCTGGTTTGGAGAAATTTAAAAAGCAGAAAAGCAGAGATTACAATGAAAATCCTGACCAGCAAGGCCAATTTATTAAGTTAAAGGTTGACAAAGGTCCCTTGCTGAACCCTCAATGGAAACCCAAAGCCCTTTTTTTGTTTTTGTTTGTTTGTTTGTTTGTTTGTTTTACACAAGAGTGAGCAAAATGGTCTGGAAATAAGAAAGAAGTGTCCAGAACTCCTTGATAGAAGAATTCCGTGAACTGTGGTACCAAAACCCATTAGTAAAGACCTGACTCAGGCTACAATTCGATTTAAAAATATATATATAAATGTAAGGATTGATAAAATTATGAAAATTAGAATGTTCAAACAAGCTTCTCGTAAAAATGCTATGCTCGTTTACCTGAATGTTTTTTGTTTGTTTGTTTTTTATCCTCACCAGAGGACATTTTTCCATTTTTTGTTCAGGTAGAGTGGGAGGGAGAGAGAGGGACAGAGAGAGAGAGAGAAACATCGATGTGAAAGGAACACATCGAGCGGCTGCCACCCGCACAACTGACCAGGGCCAGGGACAAACTGCAACCGAGGTACATGCCCTTAGCGGGAACCGAACCCGGGTCTCCCAGGACCGCAGGCCGACGCTCTACCCGCTGAGCCAAACTGGCCAGGGCTCGTTTACCTGAATGTTTTATGAAAATGGATACATGTCAGGCCGAGAACAATGCTTCTACCCAGAATTGTAAAACCAAAGCCTGCTGATAAAGTCCTACTGGAGACTGTAAATAGGAATGTAGGAGTTGATAGAATTAACATAAAAGTGGATAGGTGAGCCCTGGCTGGTTTGGTTCAGCAGTTAGAGTGTGGGCCCCCGGACCAGAGAGGCCTGGGTTCAATTCCTGCTAAGGGCACGTACCTTGGTTACAGTCTGTCCCCAGATCCCTAGGGTCACGTGGGTGGCAACTACTCGATGTGGCTCTCTCACACATTGATGTTCCTCTCTCTCTCTCCCCCTCCCTCTCTCCCTCCTGCTCTATCTGAAGATAAATGCAAATGTGTCCTTAGAGGGAAGGGGGGAGGGAGGGGTGGGAAGAGATAAAGCAAAAAACTGATATGCATATATGCATAGCCAATGGACACAGACAATAGTATGGTGAAGGCAGAGGCAGGTCCTGGCGGGAGGGGGTCAATAGGGAGGAAAGGGAGGACATCTGTAATACTTTCAACAATAAAGATAAATTTTTTAAAAATATACAATTATGGTTAACTCAAAGAGGTTGAACTAAAAATGCATGCAATTCCTCAGTGTGGTCAGGAGATGGAGGTGTTAATACACAATAATGCATATTCTCCAGTTTATAATTTAATATAAAAAATTCTAATAATTTCTCAAAAGTGTTAGTATAAACACATAATTGGCCTTTGCGCTTTATTGAATTTTATGCTTTCGGCAATTATTTCTTCTTCTGAAGATTTTTCCTAGTGTTTGATTTTGTCATTTTTATTGATAACTACTTCTGTTTTGAAACTGCTTCATCTGTTACTGAAAAACTTCCACGAGAAAAAAAACATCTTTACCTTCAAGATTTCATCCCAACTGCATTTTGATTCAACCTGTATACCCAGAGAGGTAGAAATGAGGCTAAGGAGATTGCTGGGTGGGTCCCTTAGTATCTGCTAGCCTGGTCACGGATATTTTAAAACCACAGATATTTATAAGGATTGTCCCTAATTGTGAGAAAATGGTTTCCTAATTCTTTTTTATTTTGTTGTATGAGAGTTTCTCATCAGTCCATAAATGCACAAAGCTGCTTCGGCCAACATTTTTGGTTTGCAAATTATATGCTTTTCGAGGCAAAGCATAGCAACACAAATATTTAAATTGCCCCCACGTGTTTTACAACCTCAGTGGTTGTATTTAACACAAAGCCCACAAAAGGAACATGGTCATTGATGAAAACTGGATATACCCCAAGGACTGCTGCTTATTGAAATTACAAATGGAGCAGACTGAGAAATCAAAAGTCTATCCTGAGAAAGGTGCGTAAAGAGTAAAATCCTAAGACCAGTTACAATTTTCATTTCCAAGGGCTAGAAATTAGCAAAGGGGAAAGGGACATTGTTTTTTCACTTGGGAAATTTGCTTTCTAATATTTACTTGAATATAAAACAAGTAATAACGGTTGGGTTATTTAAGAGTAATTTATATGGAGTCAAAAGTAGTTTTAAAATATTGCTGTACACTAGACTTTTTTGTTGTTTTATTTTGGTGGAGGTTTTTGTTTATATTTTCTGTTTATCAAATGCCTACCAGTTTTATTTTTAAAACAAAGAAGAATTTTATTTGATGTTCCTCATAATGTTTCCTTAAAGATCAGAATTCAATGCAAGGGCCATTTGCTATAATTACATAGTGTATATTTCAGTCAGGAAAATATGCAAGACATTTCCTGCTTTGTAGGCTGATGGGGCCATTCACTAAACCAGCTAATCTTCCTCACCAGTGATTCATCACCTTGTTTCTTTACTATTCATCTCAAACAATATTTTTTATTTATTGATTGATTGATTTTAGAGAGACAGGAAAGGAGAGGGAGAGAGAGATAGAAACATCGATGAGAGAGAACATCACTTGGCTACCTCCTGCACACCCCCCACTGGGGATCAGGCCCACAACCTGGACATGTGCCCTGACTGGGGATCAAACTGCTGACCTCTTGGTGCATGGGTTGATGCTCAACCACTGAGCCACACTGGCCAGGCTCAAATAATATTTTCAAAAGCTTCTTTAAAACCTGAGCAAATAACTGAGAATACTCCAGTACAACCACAGCAAATTTCAAGTAGTAGATCTATATTAAACAAGGTAATTTTTGACCGGTAAAGTTGAACATATTTTCAGGGTAATGCTTCCATTGCTTAGCCAGTTGCTGGTTCCTAGATTACTTATCCTTTTCTTTTTTTGTAATTGTTTTTATTATTGAGAGTATTACAGATGTCCCTCTTTTTCTCCCATTGATTCCCTCCACCCTGCTCCTGCCCCCACCCAGGACTTTACAGCACTATTGTCTATGTCCATGGGTAATGCATATATGCATATAAATTCTTTGGTTTATCTCTTCCCCCCTTCCCTCTGAGATTTGTCAGTCTGTTCTCTACTTCCATGTCTCTGGATCTATTTTATTCATCAGTTTATTTCATTCGTCATATTCCACAAATAAGTGAGATCATGTGATACTTGTCTTTCTCTGGCTTGTTTCACTTAGTATAATACTCTCTAGGTCCCTCCATTCAGTCTCATCCCTTTTTAATTGCTTGGGTGTCTGCAGTAGGAAGATTACAGCCAGGTGCCCGAGGATGGAGTTGTCCTTCTGTCAGAGTCACTTCTTCATATGTGTTTGTAGCTGAAGGCTAAATAATACACCAAAGAGCATTATTAAACTTACTTTGCTAATGAAAAATAATCACAATAGTTTTTCTCATATTTCTGATTTTCCCTTGGGACTGTGTCAGTTACTATCTATATATCTATATCTATCTATCTATCTATCTATCTATATATATATATATATATATATATATATTTGATATTAAAAACAGTAAGTAAAGCTATTCAAAATTTTGGCCAAAATTCAAGCTGCTCAGTGTATAGTCTCTATAAAATAATCATAACAGAATTTATAATTGTATCTTAACATTTTGTGATCAATTTGAGTCCCTTAGAAAATGTTCATGTATATATAATTATATATCCATGACATAAGCTTAGCTAATTGAATAGAGACTTATGAAGTATTAAATAATGATTTAATGATCAGTAACACTGAAAACCTTTTAGAAGTATATTAATGCTGACTATTTGACAAAAATAATACTTCCTGAATTAAAGCAAAAGATATAAAAGTTAATTCAACCTAATTATAAGTACTTATGAGACCATTAAGAACTCATTTCATCAATGAAAATTTTAGACAGTGTTAAAAATTCTTGCATATTTTATCATTTACCACATCACTACTAGATTTACAGAATAACAAAAATAGCTAATATTGCACATTTATCATTGTCCAGGTAATGTGCAAAGCCATTCCCAAGTATTTTCTTATTTAATATTCACAACAAACTTGTGTGGCAGAGACTATTGTTGCCATGTGTCACCCCGGGAACAAAGTATTAGAAAGATTAAGAAACTTGGCTAAAGTCACACAGACTACAAGAAGTAAAGCCTGGACCAGAAACCAGGTCTCTCCATTCTGAAGGCCATCTCATCCTCTGAATGAAGCTCTCTCTCAGCAAAATAATTCTCTATGTCCTCTACACAAAAATACAAACAAATTAAACCAAAAAAAGCATTTCGAATATATAAAATTTTTAGAGCCACTTTTACTGCGCCCTTATCAATCAATATCAATAAACATGATCTGACTGGATGAATTCACTTTCTAAAGCGGTAAGACAATAGATTACTTAACTAACAGTGAAATATTATCATTCTAACTAAATAACCAACTGAAGGAAAAGAGTTGTGTATCAGAGCATATCGGTCTACGGAAACTTGATTCAGCCATACAATACACCTCTTAGGACTCTCAGAAGAATCAGCCTGATTTTGTTCATGGCATCTAAGGAACTCTGTGACTTTTCAGAGGGAAAGAGTATTTTAAAAATTAGATACACCCGGACTTCCGGTCAAGATGGCGGCGTAGGTAAACGCGGTATTGCGTCCTCCCACAACCACATCAAAGTTACAACTAAACTACAGAACAAACATCATTCAAAACCACCTGAAATCAAGCTGAATGGAAGTCCTACAACTACGGGATTAAATCAGCAGCCACATCCAGACTGGTAGGAGGGGCGGAGGCGCGAGGCGCGAGGGGCAGAGGGGCGGAGGCGCGAGGGGCGGAGGGGCGGAGGCGGCAGCAGCAGCGCAACAGGTTGGTCCCACACCCACATGTGGCGGATAAAAATCAGGAGGCTCCCGCAGCTGGGAAGGTCCTTCCTGAGGACTGAGGGGTCCCCGTCCCACACCAGGTGCCCCGCTCAGGGTTCCAGTACCAGGAAGAGAATCCCCATAACTTCAGGCTGGAAAAACCAGCGGGAACTGAGGCTCAGGGAGGCTGAGGTGGCTGGAGCCCCAGGCAGCTCCTTAAAGGGCCCGCACACGGACTTATCGAACTCACTCCCTCTAAGCTCAGTGGGGAGGCAGTTCAAGGGGCACCAGAGACATACAGGGAAGAACTGAGCTGTTTGGCACTGGAGCGAGCGCTGGAGAGGGGGCTTCCTCGGGGACAAACGTCCTGTCAGAGGCCTTTGTTCCTTTGGTGAGCCCTTCCCAGGGGCGGAAGACAGTCGCCATATCTGGGACTCCAGCAACCTGGCTCACACTGCTGGCCCCACCCTGGTGACTTCCTGAGGCCCCACCCCACCCAACTTTCAAGCCCACCCAAGCTGTTGCCACTTGCTTAACCATAGGATTGGCTGGTCTTGGATCCTGCTTCAGGTTTTTCCTAAATTCTTTCAAACAAGCAGCATTGGGTCTCAGCGAGCCCCATACCTCTCATTAAGTAATACACAGAAACAAACACAGGGAGGCAGCCAAAATGAGGAGACAAAGAAACAGGTCCCAAATGAAAGAACAAAACAAAACCCCAATAAAAGAACTAAGCGAAATGGAGATAAGCAACCTAACAGATACTGAGTTCAAAATACTGCTTATAAGGATGCTCAATGAACTTAGTGAGAACCTCAGTGAACTTAGGGAGGGCCTCAAGAGCATAAAAAAGGACCAGTTAGAAATCATGGATACACAGTTAGAATTGAAGGAGGCATTAACTGAAATAAAGAATAATTTACACAGCTTCAATAATAGAGTACGTAAATCCAAGGAGCAAACCATTGATTTGGAATATAAGGAAGCAAAAAATGCCCAATCAGAACAGCAAAAAGAAAAAAGAATCCAAAAAAATGAGGATAGTGTAAGGAGCCTCTGGGACAACTTCAAGCGTGCCAACATTCGCATCTGGGGGGTGCCAGAAGGAGAAGAGAGAAAACAAGAAACATAAAACCTGTTTGAAACAATAATGGCAGAAAACTTTCCTAACTTGGTGAAGGAAACAGACATACAAGTCCAGGAAGCACAGAGAGTCCCAAACAAGATACCCCAAGAGGCACACACCAAGACACATCATCATCAAAATGCAAAAGGTTCAAGACAAAGAGAGAATCTTAAAAGCAGCAAGAGAAAGGCAGTTGGTTACCTACAAGGGAGTTCCCATTAGGCTGTCAGCTGATTTCTCAAAAGAAACTTTGCAGGCCAGAAGGCAGTGGCAAGAAATATTCAGAGTGATGAAAAGCAAGAACCTACAACCAAAATTACTCTATCCTGCAAAGCTGTCATTTAGAATCGATGGACATATAAAAACTTTCCCAGACAAGAAAAAGTTAAAGGAGTTCATCACTACCAAACCATTATTATATGAAATGATGAAGGGTATTTTTGAAGAAAAAGATAAAATGTATGAACAAACAAAATGGCAATGAATACATATCTATCAACAATGGAATCTACAAACAAAATGAACAGGAAGAACAGAAACATTCTCATAGATACAGAGAACATTTTGTTGGTTGCCAGTTGGGAGCGGGGTTGGAGGAATGGGTGAAAAAGGTGAAGGGATTAAGAAGCACAAATTCATTGCTAGACTGACAAACCTCAAAGGAAAAGGGGTTGGGGGGTGGGAAGAAATAAACCAAAGAAGTTATATGCATAACCAATGGACACAGACAATAGTGTGGGAAAAGGTGGGAGGGGGGCGGGAGTGGGGAGGAGGGGGTCAATGGGGGAAAAATGTGGAACACCTGTAATACATTTTACATCCAACAATAAAGATTTGGAAAAAAAAAAAAAAAAATTAGATACGCCCTGGCTGGTTTTGCTCAGCGGTTAGAGCATCAGCCTGTAGTCCGGAGAGACCTGGGTTCAGTTCCCGCTAAGGGCATAAATGTCTTCTAGTGATGAAAAAAAAATTATAGATACTTTGTTATAGATTATGTGTTGTAAGCAACCTGATGAAGCTGGGTTGATTTTGGAATTAGAAGGATTTCTTGACTTCTGAATAGACCATGCAGCTGAAGAAGAAATTGCACGTATTACACATAAAAAGAGTAACCTATTTAAATGTATGTAAGTTGTGTTTCTTACAGAGGACATGAAGGTTTCCTAATTTGTTACTTCTTTGTTATTTAATTATTTTATGGGAAAACCTTAAGGAGTCTTGGAAAAGATAAAGCTCTGGCTTTCAAAGAAACCACTTCCGTCTCCCACGGATCGGAAGAAGTTTGACCATGACTTTGCCATCTCCACTTCCTTCCATGGGGTACATAACATTGTCCGGAACCGGAGCAGGATTCGCAAGGTGATCTGGCTGGCAGTGGTCCTGGGCTCCGTCTCCCTGGTGGTCTGGCAGATCTATTGTCGCTTGGTCAACTACTTTACGTGGCCGACCACAACATCTGTGGAGGTTCAGTATGTGGAAAAGATCGAGTTCCCGGCTGTGACGTTTTGTAATTTGAACAGGTAAAAAAATTACTCTTATAATAATAATAAGTCTCTGTGTCTTTGGTAGTCTAACCTTTCTTGAATGACAGAAATCATGTTTTATTATGCATTATTTAACATGTGGAAAACCATCTGTGTTCTTAAGCTGTACTGAAACACACACATTTAGGCAGCAGAAAAGCTTATGGATTTATTCTTTTACCTCTTTTTCTTTCTTCCTTTCTACCTTCTGTAATTATATGTTAGGTATTGCACCAAAACTTGTCGTCAAATAGACGTAAAAGTCTTGATACTTGCACTTTCAAGTTAAAAAGGGAGAAACAAACACCACAATAAAATACGTATGGTGATTATACAATCCATGAACGGTACGTGCCAGGATTCTGAGAGCACAGCAGGTGACATTTCCGTCTGGGGTCATGGACGTCTGAATGCTAAAGGAGAACCAGGCAGTTTCTAGGTGGAGATGAGGAAGAGCTTGAAGAGAATTACTGTGCAGAAGTTTGGACATATGAAATGTTCTGATGTGTGCATGGTCAAGTACAGGTCCAACCTCCCGGATGTGCACTCAGTGCAGTCAGATGAGGCCCTAACACTTGATTTAATACCTCATTAAGCCCTGGACCGCAGCTTCCTGACTGTACCCAGTCTGCTGTGGAAAGGGCATCCTTCCCCCCAGAGGCCTTCCCGATTGGCTGTGGTCAGGCCTGCAAGATCACATATAAGATTCTCACCTGGCAAGGGGGTGTGAAGGTGGGTAAGGGTTGGGATTCCTTAAGATCCACCATGTACTAGATCAGCTATTTGACCAAGGACAAATCACTTAACCTTCTTAGCTTCAATTTTTGTATGTATAAAATGATATAATCTTATCTATTTCCTATGTTTGCTGTTACATTAGATGAGGTAACACATATATCAGTTTATCTCCTTCCTGAAGCATTTTTTGGACAGGCATTCAATCTATAGTAGACATGATAGCATGTTTTACAAGAATTCAAGAAATGTATCAAGGTTCCAAAAAGTACAAATCACCCCCTCCAAAAGATTTCCAATTCTATTGCCCCATACTATGTTAATTGTGTTGTAAGGACTTGAATAGACATTTCTTCGAAGAAGACACACAGATGCCAACAGATAGGTAAAAGGTGTTCATCGGGGAAATGCAAATCAAAACCACCATTACATATAACTTTACATTTATTAAGATGGTTATTATCAACAAACCAAATGATAGCAAGTGCTGGCAAAGCTGTGAAGAAATTGGAACCCTTGTACAGAGTTGGTGGAAATGCAAAATTGTGCCTCCTCCATGGTAAATAGTATAGAGTTCCTCAAAAAATTAAAAGTAGAACTACCATATGATTCAGCAACGCCGCTTCCAAGTGTTTATTCAAAAGCATCAAGGATTATCTGAATCAAGATCTCAAAGATGTATTAGCACTTCTATGTTTATTGCAGCTCTATTCATAGTAGCCAAGATGTAAAAACAGCATAAATGTCCATTGACAAACACATGGATAAAGAAAATGTCTTTTATGCATACAATGAAATATTATTCCACCTCCAAAAAGGAGATTCTGCACCATGCCACACTAGGGATAAACCATAAGGACATTATGTTCAGTGAAATAAGCCAATCACAGAAGCACAAAGACTGCATGTTTCCCCTTATATGAAGTTTCTAAAATCGCCAGATTTATAAAATGCAAGAGAAATGATGGTTTCTAGAGCTGGGGAAGGGGGAGATAAAAATGAAGAGTTTCTAATCAATAGGCATAAAGTTTCATTTAAGTAGTATGAACAAGTTATGAAGATCTACTGTACAGCATTCTATGTAGTTAACAATACCGTACTGTACACTTTAACTAGGAGTAGATCTCATATTAATGTTATCATCACATAAAATAAAAAAATTTTAAAGGTAGCAGGAAGAAAACCAGAATCATTATATCTACTACAATAATTAGAATGTAATAAAATGTATATCAATATATTAAAAAAACAAACATTAAAAGTATATGGAAATTTTCCTAAGGCCATATAGCAAATGAAGAAATATTTATTCAAGATAATCTACTAAATCTCAGTAAAAATAGCAAGAGTTTTTAGAACTTGAGCCACAAACCACTCCCTCCCTCCCCCTTTCTCTCTGCGTGATAGAAGCTAATTCTAGATGGGTTTGGCCAAGACAGGGCTCCTTCTCCTCCCAGGTTTTAGTTAAGTGTTACAGCTTTCCCGAGACCTAGATGATGCAGACTACAAGATGCAGGACACCCAGGTTTTCATCCAGTCCAGCTCTATGCTGCAAGGGCTAAATTCCAGATGAGTATAGTTAAGAGGCTGGGGTGTCCTTTCTCCATGTGACTCCCAGTTAAAGCTCTACCCCAGGCTTATTAAGCTGTGATACTCAATCACCCTCACTCCAGCTGCTCTTAGAGTAGCGGTTCCATATTGAGAGAGACAAGGTCAGGAGGCTAGAAGTCACTGCTATCCAGTACCCTCCTTATAAAGACTTTGCCTGGTCGAAGAGGCAGGCCCAAAGAACAAAGAACTCTGAAAGTCTCCCTAACGGAACTCTGCTTTTAACAGTGTGGCGAAGTTCAAGTCTAAAGCAAGTTTCAGAAACAAAATAGATTTTGGTGGTAAGCAATTAAGAAGAAGCTACCAGGTCCATGACAGCAGCGAGCTAAATGATAGGCCAGCTACTTTTCTAGTAAGAATCCAGGAGATAGACACATAAGAAGAGTCCTCCTGGGGTCAGAATTACTTTCTACTGACCTCTAAATTAATTCCTTAGGCAACCAAATTTAATTGGATCAGACTGTGGAGTAATTTATACCTTAGTGTATTATTAAAAACAATAGAACTTAAGAAAATAAAAAGACAAGCCACAGAACTGGAAAAATATTTGCAAAAGACATATCTGATACAGGACTGTTATCCAAAATATACAAAGAACTGGTAAAACTTAAAAATAAAAAAATAAACAACTCGGTTTAAAAAGGGCCAAAGACCTTAACAGATACTTCCCCAAAGAAAATATACAAATGGCCAATAAGTATATGAAAAGATACTCCAAGTCTTATGTTATCAGGGAACTGCAAATTAATACACAATGAGATATCAATGCACATCTATTTAGGATGACCAAATTACTGAGATGGAAAATTCACTAGAATCATTAGAGAGGTTCCACAACATATTTGAGCTGGCCAAACAAAAAAATCTATAAGCTTGAAGATAGACTGATAGAGTATGTGATCTGAAGAACAGAGAGAAACACTAATAAATGAAAATGAACAGAGTCTCAGAAAAATGTGGGACAGTATTAAATATAACAACATATGCAAAATGGAAGTACAGAAGGAGAAGCAGGTGAAGGAGTAGAAAAAATATTTTTACAACATTGAGCCCCACACTCCCCAAATTTGCAGAAAAGCATTAATCCACACATCTAAAAAGTTCAATAAACTTCAAGTAATATAAATATGAAGAGATTAAAAGCCAGGCACATCACTGGGAAATTTTAAAAGCCAAAGAAAAAGGATATTCAATATTCTAGATCTATAATTGTAGAATAGGCAAATTCTTAACCATAAGAGAATTATTGTTCCTTAGGTGACAAAGTACTAAAAATTCATTAGTACTGCAGGGATAAGAGATACTCTTAATTCCCAAAGTCTAATTTTACAGGTAGATTCTTTGGATATCAATCCATGAGTATTTTATACAACATTGTTAGGCAAATTAATGACAGATCAGGGAAAGAACTCAAGCTGCCTACTCTCTGGTTCCCAAAGCAACTGATCTTCAAATTTGGGGGCTCACATGCCATATAAAGGAACTTTGAAAAACTATGTATTCCACTTGCATATTTGAAATTGACATCTAAATCTTTAACCACTACTTTAAATAAGTTTCTGTCTTATTTTTAGGATATCAAAAATATTGTAAATTTTGTGACATAAAATAGGATAAGGATTAACTGTAAGAAGAATAAATGTTTCATATGACTCATAAAAATTTAACTACTAAATGAAGTACATTGATATAATTATGTATATTTTTATCTGTTGACTTCAATTAAATATCTCAATAAACTGGAAGACTCACAGACTAACCAAGCTACATTTAAAATAACAAATTTCGTTGTCCTGCTTCAGCCTTTCTCAATTTACAGGGTCCCAGTAAAGGCCCAAGTACCCAGAGTCTAACATTAAGTTTTACCTGAACCAGAAATATGTACACGACATGCTAAGACAAAGTTGAAGGAACCTTGATTAATCCTTGGAACCTTGATTAGTTCTTAGAATTAATTCTCAAGTAAGTAACTCCTTCACTTCTCTGCATAGTCTTCTTGAAAAGAATCCAGTGTACACTGCATGAAGCAGTCAATATTGACTCGGCCTGTGTGGAATTCCAAAATCACAGGGCTTTGCAACAGATCCTTTCAAAGTTAGAAAGCCGAAGTAGGTGAAAGACCCATCGCTCAATTTAGGGCTAACTGTTCTTCACCCCAAAATCCATTCCAAATGTAAACTGTTAACTCCTCAAAAGATCACTAGAAATTGCTTTGGTAAAGCAAGGTTGTTAGATACACTGTAGTTAGGTAGACTACCGCTACAAGAGAGTCTTGAGAGTGTCTCTGAAGAAAGGCAAAGTCAGAGGAGAATGTGTGTAAGGGTCTAGAACCTGGGTTGTGGTTTTAAGACAGGCCTTGGAAAACTCAAAGCTGTTTAAGTAAGGTGTTATATTAGAGACTGCTCGTGAAAGCAGTTTCTTATCTCAAAAAGACTAGGTGATATTTGTTTGGGTTTTCTCCAGGAGCCACGTTCTATGCAAGCCACATGACCCCCTACACTTGTCAAGAGTGAATCACACATTTCATTCCATGCTTTCTAGCAGTCAATTTGAAGACAGTTGGTTCAGTTTAAAGACTGATAGTACCAAAATACGATTCACATTTTGAAAGGAATGTAAGGTATGAAAATAAAGAACTATACATAATACACGGCAGAAATTGCTCAGCAAAATAAAGAGAATCCCAAATTACTTATAGTCCTGAGAGCAAACAGATTACTTTTGCTTTGATTGCCAGGAAAACACTTTGCAATAATGAAGCATTTATTTAATGAATACTTACCTAACATTCACTACATTTCAGGCATTCTTCTCAATGGTTTAGGAAAGATAATTTTTTTTTTGGTGGTGGTACGTGCCCCTAGCAGGAACTGAACCCGGGACTCTCTGGTCCACAGGCCGATGCTCACCCTCTGAGCCAAACTGGCCAGGGCAGGAAAGATAATTTAATCATAAAAATAAATTTCTGAGGTAGGTGATATTAACATGTACCAGCTTTAGAAGTGAGAAAACTGAGTCACAGGGAGGTGAAATCAGCTAAATCATACCATTAAGGGGCTGTAACAATCATAGTCCATGACAGAAACAGGACTAGTGTGAGTGACATAAAATAAGGGAGGTATCATAGGGATGAAACCTCACTGAACCAGAGGGGCTGGGCCTGGAGTCAGCAAGGTCAGCAGCCAGAAACAAAAATAAATATGGAGTAAAAGACATGACTACAAGCTGGAGATACGTGTCTCTCTTTTTTACTACCACCCATCCTGATGGTAACCTGCAAGATATGTGGGCACATTCTCCAGGTTGCACTCTCACTGGCTCAGGATTTGAACAAGCTAAAGGATGAGATGGGACAAGAGTTGGAGAAAATGTCATCCTGGCTATTGTCCCATACCACAAGTTGAGTCGGGCAATGAGCCCAACGAGAGTGAGTGACCATAGCTTCTGCCCAATAATGAACTCCAGGTTGTAACCAGATACATACAAGGAAGGGGATGTTGAAAACTACAGTTTCACCCAGCTGGTGTGGCTCAGTGGTTGAGCATCGACCCATGCACCAAGAGGTGGCCAGTTCAATTCCCAGTCAAGTCACATGCCAAGGTTGTAAACCCAATCCCCAGTATGGGGCATGAAGGAGGCGGCCAATCAATGTTCTCTCTGATCAAAGTTTCTATGTTTCTTTCCCTCTCTCTTCCTCTCTCTCCAAATCAATAAAGAAAAGAAAAAAAAAATTTAAATATAAGAAAACTACAGTTCCAGCAAAGACATGGAAACAGTACAAAGCAACCACAATAGCAAAGATATCAGGCTCCACAGTCTATCTTCCTACACATTGCTGCCTCTCCTTTTATGTTGGATCTTGAAGATCCATCAGGATGTATACATATCAAAGTCTGGAAGATAAATTAAACTATGTACAAAGACAAGGTCAATTGCAGCCTCTGACAAAGACCTTTTAGGAGTCTAATTTTGCTTGCATGTATTGTGAATGAGAGAAAATGTAGGAGAGAAGCTGGAGAAGATGATAGAGGATGGTCTAGATGTTTGGTCTCTGTCCTCTAGAGAATAACAACTTTTTATTATTCTAAATATTGCCTTTATCCCACTGATAGGTTCCAAATGGACGCCGTAGCCAAATTTGGTGTTATTTTTTTCTTATGGAATATTGTATCCAAAGTCCTCCATCACCAGGAAATTAGTGCCAATTCCACTGGTTTTAAAGAGGCTATTGATTTTCTTGCAAGTCAACAAAACTTCAGCATTACAGAATTTGTCAAGAAATATGGTTTTTATCTCAACAATACCACTTTGTTGGAATGTGACTTTTTTGGAAAGCCGTGTGGTTCACAGGTAATGATTTGTTCCTTTGAATAGCATCAATATCATAAGCTATTTTATCAGACTGTTTCACATTGAAATAACATTTATTCCCAGGGACAATCTAAATTTGCTTAAAGATTATATTTCAATAGTTCATCCTTATGATATCAGGGTGTATGGATACATAAGAGACATTTTTCTTTTACAAGTAATTAGGTAAGAAAAGGTAAAAAAACAGAAATCTTTGGTTATTTTTCTTACAGGATAGTCATTCCAAAAGAAACACAGATTTAACACTGGAGGATATTTTAATTTTTCCCATTCATCAGTGAACAGTATTTTCTAAGATAGCATTCTTATTATCATTAAGCAACCAATATTCTGTTTTTATGTTTGTGTTATTATATTAGAGGTTATAGAAAATGAGAAAGCCCCAGCATTTGACTATAAAATATATATATATTTCTCTAATCACTTACAAAATCTTGTTTTTGTTTATATAATTAATTTACATGTGAGAAAAAAATTGGCATATCTGGAATCTGTCAGCAAAAGGACATACAGGCAATTTGGCTCATCATTTCCTGTATCAGCAATTCTGTAGCAAGTGTCGTTAGGTGATTCACAAATTCATGGTTCTGGAACACAATTCCGAACTTTTCTGGCAGCTTCTTTAGCCCACAGTAACGGAAAAGTGCCTGAGAGACAACTGACAGAGATGAAGCCCTGCTCTAAACTCTTAGAGAAGAAGCTCTTCTGTGTTGCTTTTGATTTACAAATATATTTAAATTTATCACCAAGGCATTTTGTATTAGACATGACTTTTTCAGGTACAAATGACAGGAACCCAACTCTGGTAAATTGAAGAAAAAGAGGAAAGAATGAGTTAAATTAATGGAAGCTCTAAGAGTGGAACTGGCTTCAGAAAGGCTCAGGCAACAGACTCTGAGACGATCAGTAACATTGTTTCCATTTCCATCTCATGACTCCTGTTGGCTCCTTTCAGCAGGAGTCCTCCTCCCACAGAGAACTCTGGCCTCTCCTTATCCTAGTTACCTATGTTACCCACTCTTGCAATCCCTTGTTAATCCCTTGGAAGACTCTAATTACCGCCACTTGGGACACATCAATTCCTAAACCAATCTCTGACAAGAGGCAGTGGGGTATTAAGGCTGGTCCAGCTTGTCACGTGTGCATCTCGTAGGGAGGGTGGTTGAAGGACGAGGGTCAAACGGGCGAGTGTGATGGCTGCCCCACTGTGACCAGGCACTGTGGGGGCGGGGTGGCTCGTTAGAGAGGATGCCGAGGGAGTTCTCCATAGGTAAAATATAGGTAAGTTTCCGTGAGTCCTTAGTCAGTATAAATCAAATAACTTTTCAAATGTTTTTAAATTATGCTAAATTATATACAAAAATGTCTCAATCACCTACAAATGAATAAGTGCATATTACAAAAAATGAAAACATCATTAGACTGTCTATTCTTTCTGATATTTCTGCATTTAGACATCTGTGATTTAAGAAAAAAAAGCTATAGCAATTTAGACTTTAGAAACGACAAAAATACCTGTGTTTTATTTCATTCATTTACATATTGAAGGATTTTGTACATGTCTTCACTGAATATGGAAATTGTTTTACTTTTAATCATGGTGAAAATTTCGAAGCAAAGAAAAAAGTGAGTGTCTCTGGACGAGGCTTAAGCTTGCTCTTCAATGTCAACCAGGTATTGCATTTTTCTAAACCTTCCCAGAGCTTAAGACAAGTAATAGTAAACATGGGTTTTTAAAGATTTGATCATTGTGGAATATAATGAACATAACAGTCTGAGGAATGGGGTAGTCCCAGAGACATGGAAGTGGGGTACAGACTGACAATCCCCAGAAGAGGGGGTGGTAGGAGAGAGATAAACCACAGAACTTATATGCATGTATGCATGAACAATGCACATAGACAACAAAGCTGGGGACAGGGCAGGAGGGGAGAGGGATGGGGATCAGTGGGGGGGAGAAGAAACAACTGTAACAAAAATAAATAAATAAATTAATTAATTAATTAAAATAAATAAATAAAGATAAAGATTTGATCAAAATATGTTGCCCTGTCAAATTGTTCCTACAAGTTGGATATTATTTTGTTCTTTGTTAACCTCCCATAGAGTCCTATGGATACAACTATTGACTTAGAGATTAAAAGACAAAATTTAGAGGCGTAACCTGGACATTTTTAGTAATATCACTGACTACCATCACTATAACTCCAGGAAATTATTCGGTCACAAAATAGAAAACCAAACATTTCTAACTCAAAATGAATAGTTAATTTAGACGATGCTATGCATTTAAAAACATAAATTTTAGATTTCTATGTAAATAAGGCAATGTGTTTTAGAAAGAAACCATACATAGATATTTCACAAACCATTGAATGGATGGTCTGCAAAGGTGATGAAAAAAATAATTTCTATATAAAGAATATTGTATAACCGTGAGTGGTATGACTCAGTTGGTTGGGTGTCATCCCATGCCCCAGGAGGTTTCCAGTACAATTTCCAGTCAGGGCAGGTGCCCAAGTTTCTAGCTCAATCCCTGGGAGGGGGCATGCAGGAGGCAGCTGGTCAATGTTGTGCTCTCACATCAATGTTTCTCTCTCTCTCTCTCCCTTTCTTTCTCTCTAAAATTCAATAAACTATTTTAAACTTTTTGGGAAAAAAAAGAATATTGCATAGGTGGATTTTGCCTTAGCCTAGTTTCTATAAATGTGTAAATTATCTAAAAAGTTCTGAGTATTTAAGTTTTAGATGTGCAAACACCTTAGAAATAAGGTGGTGGTGTTACCTTCCAGAGTACCTGATAGAGCTCTCGCCCAAGGTTAAGTCCACACCTTCTGTCTTGCACAACTAATTTAATATTGAACACTTAGAGGTGTTTGACTCTATTGTTGTGGTTTTAGAAGTGAACATGCTATGCCCTGGCTGGTTTGGCTCAGCGGTTAGAGTGTCGGCCTGCGGTCCAGAGAGGCCCGGGTTCGGTTCCCGCTAAGGGCACGTACCTCCGTTGCAGTTTGTCCTTGGCCCTGGTTGGTTGTGCGGGTGGCAGCCACTCGATGTGTCCCTTTCACATCGACGTTTCTCTTTCTCTCTCTTCCTCTCTCTCCCTCCCACTCTGTCTGAACAAAAAATGGAAAAATGTCCTTGGGTGAGGAAAAAAAAAGAAGTGAACATGCTAAAATGCTGAGAAAAACACACAATTAATGACAAAGCTGAGAAATAACGTAGTCTCCCCCAAATCCCCTCAAATTACCCACCTCCCGATCAAAGTAAATAGCCCATTGGCTATTTTCAAAGAGTTTTTCTTCAAGTATGTTTCAAACTTCCTCTGTCCCATTCAAGGCACTTATTTTTACGTTTAAACACAGCACTGTACAGAGCAATGCATGAACCATGCTTGTATGCTTATTGGATCAATATTTTCGAGGCAGTCAAATATAAGCCATATGGCTTTTTCACATATAATATAAATTTTACAAGCTAGAATTTCCTAAATACTTTAGAATGAAATTAAAAACTGAAAATCCAATAAAACATTCCTTAAGTAAATGGTGCTGAAATATTTTTCCATATGAGCCAGTTAAGTGTCTCATGCAGTGTCATAACAGGTGACAGAAACAGGCTTCTGAGTTACAAGTGGAATATTAAGCACGTTTATTAAATGTAATTCCAAAATGCAGTACACTGTTCATAAGAAGAATCGCAATATTCCCAAGTCCGGTCCTTCTCTTTATAGCCTGAAATTCCAACTAATAGCCCAGTCCCCAGAGGCATAGTCTTAAATTTCTTCATCTGACATAAGATTGATAAAAGAAAATCACTGTGGTTAGAGAAATAGTATGTCTTCACTCTTGTGGGAAAATAAATTTGAATTTTAAATAAGACCAGAGATTTTTATTATGCAGAGAAGAATGCCAAATAATTTTCTAAAATAAATGAAGCAAAGAGAACAGCCGAGGGGAAAGCAACTAGGTGAAGAGAGAACCAGAAATTAGATGATTAAAATGTGGCCTTCATCTTAGGTGAAAATGATCCACGCACAACTGTCCAAGTCTTGAAATGTCATTCACCCTTAAAAAGTATGTGTGTCTTAGGGGTTTAATTTTCACAGCTTGTCTATAAAAAGAGTGATAAGAAATATTTGATTTTAAATCAAATGCTATCATGTTATAAAACTAAATCTGTAGAATTGATATCGATTTGTAATTTCGGGGCGGGGTGTATTTTTGTTTCAGGAGAAATTCACTGATGACCCCACTCTTGGTTTTGTTGATGCCGGGATCATTTTTGTCATTCATTCACCAAAGAAGGTGCCACAGTTTGATGGTCTAGGTTTGTCATCACCCGTGGGAATGCATGCACGGGTTACCATCCGCCAAGTGAAGGTAAATATTGGCAAAATGAATAGTTTGAGGGAATCGGCGAGGTGGTAGGGTATTAAGTGCATATATGTATAAATGACACTTCTCACTAGAAACTCCTTTCTTCCACGCCTTTAGAACACCCCTGGAAACCCCAGTTTCATTTCAGATACTTTCCTTGTATACACACATTTAGTAAACACAGTGAATTCATACAATATAAGTGAAAGCTAGGAGGCTAGCAAATCCAAGGTAACTTTAAATCTCCGTAGAGATGGAAAGGCTCAGTGAGGATGAGGAAATGAATACCTGACTTGCTGAACTGTGTGTTTTCTCAATGAGATGTTCTGTGAAGGAGAACAGTAAGTGGGAAAACCACAAATGTTAAAGTCAGACATGTCTGCCAGGTCTCTGATTGCCAGCCACTTGCTTTGGAACTTCTTTAATTAACTCCCTGAATTTCTCTCTCCTCTCCTCACTGGGGGTGTGTATGGGAGGGGCTAGGAGTAACATTTCCTTTTTGCGGTTGTTATCAAATTTAAGTGAAATCACATAAAGTAAGCACTTACCATATTTCCTAGTACATGATAGGTGCTCAATAAAGGACTTTTTGGGTGCGAATTTGGTTGTCGTTTTGTAGGTAAGCTGATCGATATGCTAACATATCATTTCCATAAATGATAATATTTTTATATGAATCAACATTTAGAGCAATCCGTCTGTCTGATTTTATCAATTCACTACGGGTACAGAACATTTGGGATATACATAAAAGACCACTGTTATTCTTACCTTCAGAGATTTTCAGGTTAGTAGAGTAGGCGAAATAGGCTAATGTAGTCAACCAAAAAAAAAAATCAGAAAGTTCTAAGGGAAAGCTGAAAATGCATATCAGCCTCTCTTCTTGGGGTTTAAAGCAGTGGATTGGCTCAGAAAAATCTGAATCACGTGTTTATTTTATCTTAAGACAGTTCATCAAGAATACCCTTGGGGAGAATGCAACCCTAGCATCAAGCTGCAGAAGTTTAGTACCTACAGCACTTCTGGTTGCCTGAAAGAGTGCAAAGCACGGCACATAGAGAAGCAGTGTGGGTGTTTACCTTTCCTTCTTCCTGGTAAGTGGAGAACAGCAGCTTTTCCCTTCCTTTATTTACTTAATTGGAAACATGAGAAACAACATATTATAAAATTGCTTTCCATCCGCTAGGGCCCCCCACACACACACACCACACTACACTACCTCCCACACAGATATACTAATGCTACCTCTGTTCTCATAACTGATCTCTGACAAACTATTTCCTGGGAGTTTTGAGAATCATCACTTCCCTCCTTCTGGAATTCTGACTATTGTCCTCTGACCCCTCCAAAAACTGGTCTGTAAAAGTGCTACCTCTGGCTCTGATTTATCACTCTTAATTATCTTTTCAAAGTTACTGGAGAAAAGTCTGAATTGATAGATGAAAATAATGCTTATAATTTTAAAATGTATTACTTCTTACAAACTGAATAACTCGTATGAACCAGAAACTAGACAAGGTGAAATATAAAACACAAAGCATGAATCTGCACAAACTTTAGGATATTCCAAGTGCTTTCAGGATAATGTTTCTATTTGGTTTGATCTTCACGTATGCCTCTGCGTCTACATATAGATGAGGAAAAGTAGAGATTTGTGGACACTAAATGAAATAGCCAAAGCACTTTCACTGCAATTTGTTGAGGAGTCCTCGGAATCCGCTTTTCAGATGTGGGTTGTTTCCTCATTTTATTGTTCTGTGTAATGGGAGAAACATCGCTGCAAGAGGTAAGGCACTTGACGAGTAACTTTTACTTCACGTTGGAGGTGGTTTAAAAAAAATTCTTTCAGTTCCTTCACAAAGAGAACTTCCTAATAGCTAGCCCAGATCTTATCCACAAATTGCAAGGGTCCAGTCTCTTTTGGTTATTTTCAGGACTACTGACTAAACATTGAGGTTAATCCCAGAAATCACATGGGTTATAGCAATAGGCAAATAGTACAAACAGTACTAAGGTGCAAAGATTAAGGTTTCAGAATCAGCCTGAAATCACATCCAGCTCTGCTACACACTGATTTAACAATGTGTCTCAAGGTCCACAGCAGGTGCTTAACAAGTATTGGTACTTACCTGTCCTATCCTGCTGCCTGAAAGGCAGTCCACCAGCTGTGTGAAGTGTGTGTGTGAGTATTGGTTTGATATCACACACACACACACACACACACACACACACACACACACACACCCCAATGGATAGAGAGAGCAGGATAGAAGGTGAAGAGAATGAGCTATGACCCCTCCCCCAAAGGCCAGGGCAGGCCAATTCTGAACCTTAGTTTCTTCATGGAAACTGGTAAAATGATGATTCCCACATCACAGGCTAAGAGTTGGAGCAAATGAGCTGATAAATGTGAAAGCAGTTTTCAACTTCAAAGCCTCTTTAAAAAAAAAAAAATTTCAAAGCCTCCAACATTTTAAAATTATCATTAACTTAAATAATTTTAGAATGATATAGAGTGATGGAAAGAAACAAAAACGTTATTCTTCTTCCCAATGTATATTTTCATAGACTAACTAGTAGCATGTTTTCTTACTCTTTTGCAAAAGAAGAAATGTACAGATGGGTAGATTGGTGGATGATGGGTAGATTGGTGAGTGGATGGATGAAAGAAAGGTATTTTTCCATTATGTTGTTTACTTCATGAAATGTAAAGTCTCTATATTTATACCTATTCTTTTTAAGGAAATGGGATAGAGTGTGACCTACAAAAGTTTTACAATTGTGTTTCTCCTACACTTGGTAAGTGGCTTAATATATTATTTTATTTTCAATGACTTACATGAAAGCTGCTCATAGTAACACAACACATTAAATTATACTATGAATAGTCCATAGATAAAACAAAAGAAGGACTAACTAGGGATTTTTTAATGTTCTTAAAATTAAGAATATTAGTAGCTTAACGGACATAGTAAAATAAAACAAAAAAACCCTCTGATTTCAAGACATACCTAAATGAAAGATGCATGACAAAGTAACAGTAGGAGAATTCTGGTTTTTATTCCCAAGTTTGCACATTTTTAAAAATTTTATACTTCTGTATAATCAAAATAATTTTGTTTTTTTCCTCATTCCATAAATAAAGCATGCTTGTTGTGACTAGATCAAACATTACAGAACAGAAAAAAATCATGTCAAAATTAGTAGAAGTTACTTCACTCTGAAAATTATTGTCCCTATTTAGATGACCATCCTTTTATTTATTAATTTCATTATACATACATTATATATAAATGCATATATAAAATTTTATATAAATGTAATCACAACCATGCATGTGATATTTATAGATGGATAACTTCTCATTAAACAGCAAACATTTTTGCTTACATATTTCTTACCTTAACCCCTAACCAATGTTAGCATTCTAGTATATTCCACCATCATTTTCTCTACATATACAGATTCATATTAATGTCTATAAGTCGTGGATCATTTTATTAAAATGAAATCACATTATATACTCTTCTACTAACTTGGTTTTCTAATCCATTGTGGAAATATATCCAGGACAACAGGAATAGATTTAACATGTTCTTTTTGATGGTTGTAAAATATTTTATGGAATGGGTATGCGTAGAAGCAATCTTAGATATATATTTTTTAATTACCTTAAAAGCTGAATATGCAGAAGTCATATTATTGACCACTGAAGTCAAGTGGCCTAATTTCTTGTAATTTCCTACTCCTGATGAAGGCTGGAGGGACAGCTTGGGGCAACAAATCATGCATGCAGTTCTGTGGGGTAATGAGTTGTAGGAGTGTTGTGGGATAATAAGATCCGAAGAGTGTGTGTGTGTGTGTATGCGCGTGCACGTGTGTGTGTACGTGTGTGTTATTGCATGTATTTGTGTAAGTATAGAGAAAAGGTGGTGGTTATTACTAATAGTCTTAAAAAACTAGAAGATGCCCATGAAGTCATACCCTGAAGGAGTATCAAAGTTAGAATCAGGAAAACAAGCCAAAAGTTGATCATTACTCAAGGGGTCTTGGTGAACAAAACATTCATAAGAAAATGAGTTTCAATAATAAAACCACAGAAAAAACAATAACCAGAATATCTACCAAGACTAAGAAGCAGTGAAACTAGGCACTGGGAGGTTGTCCAAAAGAAAACTGAAGACAGATACCGCTCCCTGTAAGGGCTTGTCCAGTACACATTTCCATGTATAGGTCAGTTGCTCTCCAGGGGTGAAGAGAGGACAGAGGACAGAGAACCTCAGCGGCTGACTTAGAAGTCACTGGGGCCCACAGAAATAAGTCTCAATGCCCGGCAGTATATTTCACACCATAAAAAGTTGAGATAATCCCAAACACAACTTTAGTTTTAACCTGAGATACTGGTTTTTAGGATTATGATGGAAAGTTCCTCTAAAAGTGACAGAAGGTCACACCAACAACTTTCTTTTTATCTCCTGTCCAAATGTCTAATATTTTATGAAAATAAGCTCAGAGACATTCTGGAAAGAGTTTATTTTTTTTCTAACAAATATCTGAATCTTGTGATTCAGTTCACCCAAGGAGAACAGCTCCTATGTTTTATGTTTTGTCTCCTTTGCTGTATCAATGCTGAAAAATAAAATATAAGTACCTTTTGTTAAGAAACTAGTGATACAACTTGTTAACCACTTTTTTTTTTTTTTAATCCTCACCCGAGGACATTTTTTTTGTTCAGATAGAGCGGGAGGGAGAGAGAGGAAGAAAGAGAGAGAGAAACATCGATGTGAAGGGACACATCGAGTGGCTGCCACCCGCACGACCAACCAGGGCCGGGGACAAACTGCAACCGAGGTACGTGCCCTTAGCAGGAACCGAACCCGGGTCTCTCTGTACCGCAGGCCGATGCTCCAACCGCTGAACCAAACCGGCCAGGGCTTGTTAACCACTTTTTTTAGCATTAAAAATAAAATGATAAAAAATGTTCAAGCTCTGCCTTCCCCACTGCGAAATAATCCTCTTCCTGAACGTACTGTCTGGATTTTCATTTCAGACCACATCGAAGTTAAGGGATTGTGTACAATGGGAACACATAATTCTAGCTGCCCTGTTCCTTGTGAAGAAACAGAATACCCTGCTACTATTTCTTATTCTACTTTTCCAAGTCAAAAAGCTTTGAAACTCCTTTCCAAAAAGTTGAATCAAAGCCAGCAATACATCAGGTAATATTTTCAGTCTTGTAAATTATTTGTTATTAACATGAATAGTTTCTTTACTCAAAACTTTCAAAGATTCAGGAAATAAAATTCGGATCAATCAGAGGCAATGGCTTCCATCACTGAATTAACAGTGACACACTGGAATTCCAATCCCTTAATTTAACTGTGTGAAAAGTAAAATGAGGTATGCTTGACTTATCTGCTCACAATCTTACCGTTATTGGCCTGACTTGGAAAAATAAAAATGCTTTAATATCAGTTAATCATATCATTTAATGCTTTAAGATATGAAAATTTTTTTTTACTTTTGTATATTATATAAATTGAGTCTCCTAATAACGATATAAGTAGATGGAGCACAAATCATTATTCTTGTCTTATAGATGAGGAAACCAAAGCACTGTATTTCAAGTAACTGTCCTCTGAATGCAGTCAGTGGTACAGAAAGAAATTATGTCCAAGAGCTATGGTTCTGTTCTCCACATAGTTGTCCACAGAGATATATAATTCCAATTTTAATTAACTGAGGTTTAAATTAGGTCTCTTTCTGCTAGCCCATGCTGTTACTTAGAATTTACAAGGTAAACTTCATAAAGAACTATCTTTTTTAAAATCAGGAGGCAACCTTAATATTCGTCTTAGTTTTTACTTATACTTGTAAAGGACCTGAAATATCAATATAGTACACTGGTATTTATACTTACATTTGTTATAATAAAAATATATTAACTATTTAAGAGCTGATTTATGTACAGCCAAGTCCCAAACTTTGAAAGCATACTTAAATTCTAGTTTTAGCTTGGTATTTATTTTAATCTAATAAGTAACACTCTTTCCATGTAAATGCCTAAATAATAAAATGATCTTTGCAAATGAGGAAGAAAAAGCATTTTCATCAAGACGAGGTTGACAAGGTGTGATTTCGAGCATTTAGCAGAAAAAGAGATGGAAAGCTAGAAATTTGCAATTATATTTTTAACACTTCTGTCTCCTACAGGTGTCTCTTTGTATTCCATTTGAATATGGGAAACTGATTTACCCATAGTACTATTCCTGTTATATACTTAAATATGACTGAGAAAAGCACTTCATATAACTTGGGGCTAACAGAGATCTCCCGAGTTTCAAAATTATTAGTATGCAGAGAATGTGGGCATGATTTTGGAGACACATTGGTGAATCAGAAAAAAAAACAACCATGGGTAAACAAGATGATCCTACAGGACATGGTTTTGTGTTTTTCCAAAAACTTAGGTTATTGTTATAGGCGGAAAAAAAAACAACTTTTTCCTTTATTCCTTCCAGGTTCTCTGACTAATCTAATAATTAAACTGACATAATACAGATTAAAAGGAGAAAAACAAATTTAATTTCATATATTTGGGAGATCATAAAAATATGACTCAAAAAAGTGACCTATGCAGGCAGCTTTTATACCTTTTAGACAAAGAAACAATACATTTGTGAAATTGACAAGACAACGGGTTTTGAGCTGGGAGCAGTATTAATGAAGAAGTAACAGGATTTGTTTATGCCACTTCTTACCTTCAATCCCCGTCTCTGATAAGGATGCCTTTCAGCCTCCTGCTGCAGGGAAGGCACCTTTCAAATGACAGATTGATGTTTTCTTTCAAGGGGATAAACAAAATCCAGAATGTCCTCTTGCACTGGCTCTTTTTTAAGTAACTTTAATTCAAAATAATATGCCCAAACTACTACCTTTCATTATAAATCATCCTACAATTAATCTTATCACATAATTGACATGTGGGGACCTTACACTGTTGTGAATATTGGAAGCCATTACCACTAAATCTAAGGCAAGTAGCTGAACAAACGCAGCCGAACTTGGGTATCCAAATACTAGATAGAGCCCGTGGTTTGAAGCCACACATGCATCTAGGAAACTGGTTGTGAACAGGTACCAGAAATCAAAGAGTAATAAACCAGAACACAAAAATGTAATTTGTTAGGAGAACAGATGTGAAACTTTAGCAGCAATAAAATATTTTTAGAAAGCAATCTCTGCATGGCCAGAGTGGCTCGGTGATTGAGCATCAACCCAGGCACCAAGAGGTCACCGGTTCAATTTCTGCTCAGGGCACCTGCCCAGGTTGTGAGCCAGACCCCCAGTGGGCAGCATGCAAGAGGCGGCCAATTGATATTCTCTCTCATCGATGTTTCTCTCTCTCTCTCTCTCTCTCTCTCTCTTTCTCTCCCTCTCCCTTCCTTAAAAAAGAAAGAAAAAAAAATTTTTTTTTGAAAACAATTTCTAACTTAATCATGAAGCCTGGATATGTTTCTTCCAAGGGCACAAGCCAATTTCAAACTTTTGGAATTCAGGACCTCCTGGGGCAATTGATGAACCTTATTGAGAAGATGATGAAAAGCTTAGCCAGACTGATGTAGGCAGTGTGGAAGTAAATATAAGGATATATTATAGCTGGATTTAGGCCCGTTCCATTAGTAAAACAAGTGAACTTCATAAATTGTTCTGTTTTAATTTAACAAATTTTAGTTAAAAGTTGTATAAAATAGCAATCTCTGCATTGTTTGAATAAAATGCTTTGTTCAAAACCATTTTATTCCCCTTAATACAACACTCATATTCAAATACCTAGAAGCATTTCATTAGTGTTTTGTAAATACAAAATCACTCAAATTTTCTTTGATTTCCTTATCCTTACTAAAATGCAGATTTTATTTTATAATAATGCATCTTCTGACAAAAACAAATATTCTGGGACTTCAATGCTGAACAATTTTATGATCATCATGAGGCATAGATTCAGTGAGGTCCAAATTACTGGACAACTCACCTGCCTAAGGGAGTTGAGTAAATATCATTATTTTTGAAGAGGATGAACTTATCTTCTGTCAAAACACAGATGAATATTGTCTGGAAATGGTTATGGATTTTGTGCTAGGGAAAGTAAACATTATTATCAGTATACATGCAAATTAGAAGCACAATGGAGGACAAAAAGATTGCAATATTACCAAAATTTCTAGACTTCCAAGGCAACCTTATTATTTCCTTCAATTTGGAAATTGTTTTATTATTTGCAAATATTACAGTACCCTCTGATTATTGACTTAAACATAGTAGATTGTCCTGTTACCCAGGGCTAAACCAATGAAAATTAAGTAAACATATTAATGATACATTTTGAATTAAGTATATTTGGGAACATTGATTTCTAAAACTGTAAACAATAAGGAGAGTGATTTATAGTTATCTTTCTTAGATATATTAAAGAACACCATATAATTCCAGGAAACAACGCTAATAGAATCCACTCTTAATGACAATTATTATTGCCAACTGAAAATCACCAGGTGGTTGGTTTCTACCTTATCTTAGAAGATGGACAGGTTCATATTTATCCACTCATGCACTGGTTTCATCTTTAATTTGTCCCCTAATTTGTCCATAAAATGAGCACCTAGTAAGTGTCAAGATTCAGGGGTGTCCTAGCATTAGAGATACCCTGTGTACAAAAGACAAAACCCTGCATTGTTGTATTTATTTCCACTGGGGTAGAAATGGACAATAACTATAGAGTCATCTCAGAGGGTGCTAAGTGCCATGAAGGAAAAAGAAGGAGAAAAAGGGGCTGAGAAAGGCAGAGTCAGGGAAGATTGGTCTCAGGGTTGAGGACTGTGATCAAAGAAAATCTCCCTGGGAAAGTGACCACTGAGCAAAGACCTAAAGCAGTGGTTCTCAAACTTTTTGGTCTCAAGTCTCTTTGAGCTCTTAAAAAGTACTGAGTTTGCTTTTCGTTGTGGTTATGAGGTAGGACTTGGATGACAGATCCCAAAGGTGGGCTAGAGTTTGTGTGGTTTAACCTTCCCAGGTGTCAAAGGAGGGAGTGCATGGGCTTTCTCATTAGTTTACCTCTCATGGGGCAAGAAGAGGGAATGGTGACATTTGAAAGCTGTCAGCAGTGAAATACCAAAACGTATCAATGAATTTTTCATACTCAATTATATTAATATCCATTGATCTTATACTTTGAATCTTTGAACTGATCTTTTTACAGATGCATGATTTTGAACATCATTTAATGGTCATTAGGAAAATTCTCTGAGTTATGCAGCTCTTCCAAATATTGATTTATTTTATTATATAATATACATTTTATTTCCATATTATTATTTATCTCATCAGAAAAATCTTTAAAAATTGGGGAATTGTTAAGCCCATAGGAGACACAAATTTTTCAAAATTCCAATTTTAGCATAAAAGCTAAGCTTAAAATTTATTATTGCCTGAAAATCTTATTAGTTGTTTTCTTTGCAGGGACAGGTTCATTTTGTTCATTTTTGTGAAAATGCCTATCAAATATCATAGTCTCAATAGTCAGAGTTTGTCAGTAATTTTTTAAAATAAAAATAATATTTCATGTAAAAACTGGCTATTGCAGCTCTCTTGAAATAACAATCATAGTGAAAATGTCAAATAATATGTTAGTATACTATGAAAATAATTTTGACTTTGTGAACCTCCAAAAGTGATATTGGGGACCCTTCAGGGTCTGTGACCACACTTTGAAAACTGCTTACCTAAAAAGCTACTCTTGTTTTTGTGGTTTTTTAAAAATGTATTTTCATTGATTATTAGAGAGAGAGGAAGGGAGAGGGATAAAGAGAAGCATCAATGTGAGAGAGAAACATCAATCAGCTGTCTCCTGCATGCCCTTTACTAGGGATCGAGCCCACAGCCTGGGCATGTGCCTTGACTGGGAATTGAACCATCAACCTTTCTCGGTGCATAAGAGCCACACTGGCCAGGGCAAGCTAGTCTTGATATTATATGAAAGAAGAACATTCCAGAAGCATGGAAAACCAAATGCAGAGTAAAATCCTAAGCCAAAAGCATGCTTGTGTATTGATAGAATAGAATGGAGGTTGGTGTGGCAGGAAGCAAAGTAAACACAGCAGAGGTGATTGGATTCTGGATATTTGTTAAAGGTAAAACAAATAGTTACTTCGGGATTGGCTTACAGTGTTATTCAATTATAAATGGAGAACAATCAAGAGTTTAACTTGGAATAGGTCGAACTTGAAATACCAATTGCACATCCAAGTAGAAATACAAAGAGGCAGTTGGATATGTTATCGAGTCAAGATAGAAGTCTTGTCTGGAGATTGAGAGTGTGAGGGTATCTAAGACCATATGAATTGTTTAAAAATAGTGATTAGCCATTCTGGTCACATATAACATTTTTTTAACTTCTATTTTTGTTTTTCAATTAGTTTAATTCAATAGTAATTTGTACTAGTTTTGGGTGTACAGCATAGTGGTTAGATAATTATATACTTTACAAAGTGTTCCCCCTGATATTTCTAGTATTCACTTGGTACCATACATAGTTATTACAATATTATGGACTATATTCCCTATGATATAATTTACATCCCCATGACTGTTTTGTAATTACCAATTTTTACTTCTTAATCCCTTCATCTTTTTCCCAACCTTCCTACCCTCTGGCAACTGTCAGTCTGTTCTCTGTATCTATGAGTCTGTTTCTGTTTTGTTTGTTTGTTTGTATTGTTCTTTAGATTCCACATATAAGTGAGGGCTTCTGATGTTTGTCTTTCTCTGACTGATTTATTTTACTTAGCATAGTAGCCTCTAGGTCCATCCATGCCACTAAAAAAACAGTCTCTGCCTAATATATTAATGACCTAAAAGAAATGACTACCATTATTATACATCAATTATATGCCAATTCTTTAATACATTATTTAATTTCTCTTCACCATAACTCTAAAATTCTGACCCTAAAATCTTGACTACAAATGAGGACACCAAGACCCAAGAAAACCATGCAGTTTCTCCAGGATCACATAAGTAACACAGGACAGAATCAAGAGTTGAGTTAAAATTAGACACACACATAAATGTTGGTAAATACTTGAATCTACTCAGTAGATATTTACATTTAATGTGCTTTTCCAGTTTCTCAGGAATGAGGCATAGAAAAATTATTGAGTCTGGGGAAAAAAAATTTCCCTAATTATCGACATGACAAGAGTGGTCTCCAAACGAAGGTATTGTGATTAGTATTGAATACAATGAGGTTGAGTCTAATTTCACATTAAATAACATCTGAACCAAAAATGGATATTACTGTTGTCAAATAGGAATTAACAGTAGTTCTGACAATCTTGAGCTAGATTAACTCTGTTTTCATCCCCAGGGAGAACCTTGTAAACATTGAAATAAACTATAGTGACCTAAATTATAAGATAACCCAGCAGCAAAAAGCAGTGAGTGTGTCTGAATTACTTGGTAAGTGTTATTTAATTGCTCCTCAATTTAAAAAAAATTTCTATGAAATACCAATTGAACATCCAAGTAGAAATACCAAGAGGCAGTTGGATGTATTATTGAGTTCAGGATAGAAGTCTTGTCTGGAGATTGAGAGTGTGAGGGTATCTAAGACTGCATAAAGTGTTATTTTAAAATAGTGGTTAGCCCTGGCCAGTTTGGCTCAGCGGTTAGAGCGTCGGCCTGTGGTCCAGAGAGACTGGGGTTCGGTTCTCACTAAGGGCATGTACTTCAGTTGCAGTTTGTCCCCGGCCCTAGTTGGGTCATGCGGGTGGCAACCACTTGATGTGTTCCTTTCATGTCGATGTTTCACTCTCTCTCTCTCCCTCTCTCTCCCTCTCTCTCCCTCCCACTCTATCTGAATAAAAAATGGAAAAATGTCCTCAGGTGAGGATAAAAAAAAATAAAATAAAATAAATAATAAAATAAAATAGAATAGTAGTTAGCCACTCTATGAAATGTCTATGAAATGTTTTGTCTTTTGTATTTAAAGTTTAGCTTATCAATGGAGGAAAAGTTTCAGTAGTGCTCATCATTCACCTGCCATTTAAGTCGGACACTTTTCTACTCCCTGGACACACCTCCAGAAAAACCTCAGCTGGGTTTTCACAAGAAAAGGCTGGTGTTCACTATCTCATATTCACACAGCATACCCGCCTTAGCAAGTGACAAATATAGTGTTCAGCAATCCCGTATCAAGGTAGAATGTCAGGCATCTCAGACCTTCACATAGAACTTTGCCTGGATGAGTGGGAAGGAAGATCCCAAGCTAGCAAAATCTAGCATTTAAGTTGCCACCACTCACTCTTCACCATACAGTCCTCAGCAAGCTGCCTATTTGAGAAGTCACGTATGAAAAAAGAGGGTGTGAGATTCAGGCCAAATGACAACAGTCAGATACTGGCAGCCGGGCCCCAGAATAGGAGGAAATTCCTCAAAATTCCGGGGCAAGCCTACACTTCATTATCACATTTACAAAACACGCACGATCCTAAGCATGGCCCAGGGCAATGAGGAAAAGGTGAATGATGTAATTTATTTGAAAAGGCAGTACAGAGGAGTCAAAGTCGTAGAGACAGAAAGTGGAAGGATGGTTGCTAGGGCCTGCGGGAATGGGGAATAGGCAGTGTATTGTTTACTGGGTACAGAGTTTCAGCTGCGCAGATGAAAAGTTCTGGAGATGGATGGTGATGATGGGCACACAACTATGTGAATGTACTTAGTGCCATACGACTGTACATTTTAAAATAGTAAAATTTATGTTGCATAGATTTTATGGCAATAAAAGAAAAGCACATACATCAAACGTAAATATCAATTTACAATATGTTTTAAGAAGATGGTAGTGTTAATATATTTTAGTTTAATTAAGTATTACACATGATTAGCAAATTAAGTATTACACATGATTGGCCCAGCCTGTGTGGCTCAGTAGTTGAGCATAGACCATGCACCAGGAGGTCACCAGTTCAATTCCCAGTCAGGGCACATGCCAAGGTTGTGGGCCAAATCCCCAGCGCGGGGCATGCGAGAGGCAGCCAATTGATGTTCTCTCTCAAAAATCAATAAAAAAAAAAAAAATTAAAAATAAATAAATAAATAAGTAGCTTTGACACTTGAAGTCACAAATCACATAGATATTTGTGTTGATGGAAAACACCATTGCCTAATAATGCCATCTGAATGTCTCATTTCTACTCTTCATTCAACACATGGAAATAAATTTGTAACTGTTGAGCATATTTTATTAATTTGAATTAATATCCTCTAAAGTCTTTGAGTTATATTTTGGATATGGATTTTATGTTTGCTTTCTCTCTCTCCTTTTAGAGATGATATATATGAATATTATATTAAAATGCTACTATTTACTATTTATTTATACCAAACTTAATACAATTAACTCATCCTCATATAATATCAGCTATGATTAATTTATTAATCTCAAATAATTTAAATTCTAGTAATACTTAATTTCCTTTTTATAAAAAAAAATATTACTTGTTCATTGTATTGTTTGTATTACAGCTGATGTTGGTGGTCAACTTGGCCTATTTTGTGGGGCCAGTATGATTACAATTATAGAAATTATTGAATATATATTCACCAATTTCTACTGGATATGCATTTTGTTTTTGCTGAAGATACCTGAAATGACCCCAGGGGCTCGTCCAGCTCAGAATCACCTGGGGAATAAAAATGACATAGAAGAATGCTGATGTTCACTTAGAACAAAACGTTTGCTTTTTTTTTCATACTATTTTTAGATTTATTCATGACTAACTCATTGTTATGTAACTTTATGTTATAGTTTTGAGGACTCAATAAAACTCTTTGTAAATATCTATCTCTTTATACACATTTTTATCTCTGTCTGTATTTATGTATATGTATAAGTATATTATATATATATTAATTTATATGTTAAAAAAACAAGCACTGTCTTGTTTTGTATACACCATTGAGTTCCTAGCATCTAGAACAGTAGAGATTATGTAGTGGACATTTCATAAATGTTTTTAAATGAATGGATGTTTTTGGTACTAGAAAAAGACTTTTTTATGACTACATATGTAAATTAGATTTGATAAATAAACTGTATATAAGGAGACAAGATACTTCTTATTTAGGAAAGAATATACATAATTTGTGAGTTATAAAATTTCAGAGATTTTTATTTTACTAAAATTCAACATAATTTTATTTATTTATTTTGTCCTATGAGTTCTATTGTATAACTGACTTTTGAAGGGGCAGGATTTATAGCTTTCCTATACAGATGAATACTTAAAATAAGTCTATCTGAAAACAAAGTTAAATCTGTAGTATATTGGGAGTACGCAGTGCGAGCACATCATTTTCTCCAAACATCTGTATGCACTTATTAAATTTAGAAAGGAAAGTCAAGTGTTGTGGTGTCCTACTCATTACCCCTCAGATAATCAACCTATTTACAGCTTCCAGGAATAATCAATCAATGGTGAATTGTCCTGAAGCCTTATCAAAGGTATTTAAGAAATAATCATCAAGTGATAGAATTCGAACACTCAATTTATTCTGGCAATTATTGCTGGGTCTCGTTTCCTTCCCTGCTACATGAGAATAGCGCCTGAAAATCTTAAGATGTTGTTTTCAAGTTTAATTATAAGCAAGTGCTAGTGCCAGAGGAGGGAGGCCAGTCAATCTAGGAGTACTCAGTCAAATTAGGAATATTATACCTCAAGACCCTGAAATACCAATCGTGGGTAGATACCCTAACCCACGCCTTCATGCCTGGAATGCTACGATCTCGTCTCACCAATTAACTACAGAATAATATTGCCAGAATAACTCTTAAATATTTCTTGTATCGTGAAATTCTCTCACCCCAAATCATATTACAGTTTCTGATTTTTATCACCCTTTTTAAGCTTACCATCTTATATACTCGGCACCATTTTTAAACCTCTTTCCCAACCTGTTTCTCCCTGGAAGTTCCTCCTCTGTCCCTCAAATGTACCATAATGATTTATTCCTCCATAACTGTTGTCATCTTCTCATCTTTTACAGCAATATCCTTCTATTTCATGTTAGTTCCTAAATCTTCCCCACCTTTTAAGGTTATGACTTCTCTGGTTAGTTTCTCCAGCTTCTTCGATCTCTGTTTAGGTTTTTTTAATTTAAATATAGCAAGGCATTTAATTAGTACAACATTTTTTCTTAAAATTACACAAACATTGTGATAAATCAATAGTTAAATAAGAAAATTGAACACCATATATAGATATTGACATAGAAAGCTAGATATATGCAATTGATACTTTTTCTTTTCAATTGTTAAATATATTCAAAAATTGTAAAATTTGAGAAAATAATACAATATGTACCTGCCATTCAAAGGTAACTAATATTATATTTTGCCATATTTTTCTCAGATTTTCCATATTTTGAATCTTGCTGTATATATTAATCTGAAACCTGCTTTTTCATTTCACATGTTTACTGTGTATTCATGCTAACACATGAAGATATAGTTTATTTGCTGCACAAAATATGGAATATACCATGATTTATTTATTCATTTTGCCCAACTAATGCATATTTACTCACTTTCAATAGTTTATCTACAGCAAAGATATTGCAGTGAAATTCTGTGTACATTTCCTTTTGGTGACGTTCGTAAATACAAAACTGCTGGAATTTTTTGGTATATGCATTTTCATCTTGACTATTTGTTGCCAAATTTCTCTCTGCTATAACTGTACCCATTTATACAACCAACAGTAACATGTGAGAGTTCATATTTCCCCATTATTTTGTATTCCCCATTAGCTTATAATGTGGGTTTTTTTTCCCAATGTTATGTATATGCATATGTATCTTATTTTTGCTATAAAAATTCAGTGGACATTAAGAGGCAAATGGAAGTGTAGATGCTCTAGACTACAAAAAATATAAAAAAGTAAGGTAGATCTATGATTTGACCAGAATTATGACTAGGTATCTGTGTAGCTTTGATTGAACTCAGAAAATACTAAAGCTGCTGGTGAGATTTTGATGCCAAAAGTCAGTACGGTGGACCGAGAGACCTGCTTACACTCTATTCCTTTTGACCTGATGGACCTTGAATTACACAGCTCAGAGGTAGGCTAAAGTAAGTAAAGGTATTGGCCAACTTTGGGGGTTATTTTGTTGTGGCGTGAAAAGAGAAGGGATTTAAATCTCCAAGTTCAATTAGAATCCACTGAGACAGTTTTTATTTTTTTCAGAGTTAGGGATTATGAACACATAAGAAAGAAAATTAAGCATTGCAACAATTTCCACAGTACTGTCAGTTATTATTCCCCCGATGGTAGCTGTAACTTTGGTGCAAATCCATTATTTCATCAGATCTTACACATCTACATTAATTAACTAACACCTGTAGAAAGAAGACTAAGTAAACAAAGGATTAGTTCAAATGACTCAAATGTCCACTTTTAAATTACACTTAAAGTTTTCATATGCTAACAAACCACAGTATGCCATTCAATAAAATATTAGTTCCATCAGTGATCATTCAAATGTTCCGAATATATTTGTGTACCTTTCTAAGGCACTGGCAAAGTTGTTTTCTTATTAAGAGCAATCAAAATCACTTTTCGACTATTCTTATTGTCTGGAGTCCAAAGTCAGCTTTCTTATAATAAAATGCACTATGTCATTCTTGTTTTGAGAGAGAGAAAAGAAAGCCAATATATGATTAAGTTTCAGAATGCTTACTGAACAAAAATACAAATTCAGAGAGGATCAAGAGAAATAACTCTTCAGGCCTTTGGAGATATCACAACAGAATCGAATCCTGCAGACCAGATTGGGAGAACTTGGATAAACAGAGAGAAGAAGACTAGGCCTTCAGCACAGAAGAAGCTTGGAGCAAAGTCACACAGGTGCAGATTTATGTAGTGTGTTTGCAAACATCAAGGATATTATAGGAAATGGGAGGGAAATATGTTGAACTAGAAATCCGTCAGAGTATAGGAATCATTGTATTCTTGTCCAAGGTAATTGATAGTCTGTAGCAAATTGAGAAATAGTCACTCTCGTGTCCTGAATGGGGTGGTGCAATTATGGTTGGAGACAGAAAGGAAAACAGGCTATGCAGTGCCAACTGTTGGCACAGAATATGGGAATGATCATGTGCTGACAATAATATCAACAGGTACAACCATTCTAGAGATTAAAAAGCAAATATTTAGGCAAATTATATAATGAGGACCCAGCAACTTTACCCTTGGAGATATAAATATATGATATCTATAATTTATCTTTGATATTATATAGTGTATTATAAACTTATATTATCTATATTTATATTAAACTATTTTCAAAGTCCCCAAAGGTAAATATACATATTTATTTGAATTAAAAGGCAGTTATTCGGTTTGACAAATTCAATTCTTATTTCTTATCATATACCATCATAAACAAAATAAATTAAGATAAATGCAAGAGAAGTAATAATAAAATGTAAACGACAATATAAGGAAATATGTATACAGTTTCAGATGGTTAAAAGCTTTCTACATATAAAGGCAAAGAAAAATCGTAGAAGTAAAAATAATATATTTAGCAACACAAAAATTCTGTATGTCAAAAATATGATAAAGAGCATTCAGTAACAACTAAGAAACTGGGAAATATTTGCCACAAATATGATAAAGAGGGCAATAATTTATAAGCAAAGATGCCATTGGAGCATTTTGTATAATAATGGAAAATTAGAATTAATCCAAATATCCAAGAAGAATAAATTAAAAAATAGTGAATCACCTATAGAATGAAATAAGAATTATTCATTAAAAGCCATGACCAGGAGGTAAGGAACAGGCAGTTGCAAAAAAGCTGTTTCCTGCTTGAAGGTAGCAATCTATGATGGGTATTTTTAAATATCTGTCTATGACATTGGGTCAAAGGAGAATTATAAACTGTACCAGATTCCCTGGGACATATATTTTTTTTTTCTCATAGCTAATGACAGTAGACAGTGCTGGAAAGCCTGGTTTTTCCCAGTCCTCTACATTTCTGGTTTCTGAAACACACGTTACGTAAACCTACCCTATATCCAAACACTGTCCAGGCCCTGTTGGGCTGTTCTTCCTTCAAATATTTGCACGGTTTCCTCACATCATTCAAGCACTGTTTGCTCACTCTCCTCTCTTGGATTCCAACTTCAACTTTTATTTTCAAATTGCAAGCAGCCCCAGCCCCTTTCCTGCACTCCAGATCCCCTTATTCTGTTCTTTATCTTTTTCCCATAGACTGCATCACCCTCTGTCATTTAATTTATTTTTATATTGAATTTATGGTGTATTGTCTGTCTCTTCTACTAAAATGTGGGTTCCCAGGGGAAAATGAACTCTGCCCATTTTTCACTGATTGAACCTATGCTCTCAGACCAGAGTCTAGCACATCTAGGGATGTCAATATGTACCGAATAAACAGAGAGATTCCACTTCATCTGAGTCGGGGCTGCATTGGGTAGTAAGGAACACACCAGACAAATGAACTGGGTCTCATTACTCAATCTACCCAACTACTGAGAGCTGGTGCCTGGCTATGCTAATCTGCCTGAGAAAATCATGGTACATCCACAAGACATACTTTCATGCAGAGAACATATATCCACTGCACAAAAAAATTAAAGACATAGGAAAATAATGACATATGATATTGAATGGAAAGGGGAGCATACAGAAGTGTATAATTTTTAATACAAAAATGTAAACGGAAAAAAATGTTATAGACATCATGTTTGTCCCTGAGTACATTTTGAGAAAAGGAAATTTTCTGTCATGTTAACTTCATGCTAAGTAGAGCATAACACAATGCTCA